TGCACAAACGGGAGAGAGTTGCAGGGAAGGGAGCGGCCACGCAGGCAGCACCACGCAGACAATCACGCAGGGAGAAAACACGCACACAGTTGACGCTTTTGCAGGAGAGCCAGTAGCTAACTCAGACCTCATTCAGGACGCGAGCAATTTGTTGGCGCAGCTCGGTAAGCGAATGACTCTCCACCACGTGCGCGGCCACGTCAATGACCCCAACAATGACGAGGCGGACCGGTTGGCCAGACTCGGCGCGTCCGGTCGAGCCCAGCAAGATATAATAGACCTCTCGCTGAACGAGATTCCCTAGACACGCGGACTGGTCTGACTCGCGGACTGGTCTGACACGCGGACTGGCTTGACACGGGTCGTGAAAATATTTTAATAGTTATGGACATGAATGTTGACGTTGGTGTGAGTACCTGGCGTGAGGACCTCGACGCCCGTGGTCCTAATCTCAATCCCTGCGGTTCGAATCCTGCCGAGGTTGAGGTTAGCAAGCGCGCACGGGCTACGGAAACGGAGCTCCGAAACCGCGACGGCACGACTCGCTCGGAATGCCGTAGTCGCCGCCGACGTCGCTACGACAAACTCCGAGACGTCCTGATCAAGTACCTGCCGCCGGAGGAGACGGCACGCCACAGCAGGACCGCCATTCAATGAACGGCAGACCATTCAATGAACAGCGGCAAATAGTTCGTATGTGATCTTCAGCTGTTTGTCTTCAACCATTGATCTTCATCAATAGTTGATGGCCACTTGAAGATCATTCGTAATCACCACTCGCAGCCGAACCACCCACCCTCAGTTGACACCCCCGGAAGCCAACCCCTGCCGCGCAACACGTGGGTGCAATTGCTCCCCAGTTCTGCATTTCATTTTGGAAGAAGGCTCGTTCGCAAGGCTGCCGCTCACATGATTGTCGCTCACAAGATTATGGCATGGTAAGAGTGCTCCTCCAGTCGTATCGCAAGGTAAGAGTGCTCCTCCAGTCGTATCGCAAGAGTGCTCCGTCGTTTAATTCGAAGGATTCCCATCTGAAAATTATTCGAATAATCAGATGACACACGTGTGTTCGCACGTGTGTCAGATGGGTCTCTCTCTCTTACTGGCATAGTCCTCTGATAGCGAATAAATGCAACACTATGTAGGTGTCTGAAATGGAGTCGAACGAGTTCCTTTTCGAACTTTCATTCTTTTCTAAACCCGTGTATGTCAATCAACAGGCTATTGCACTTCGGGTCCTCCAACGACCAAGTACATGGTTA